AGCCAGAATTTCTTCCAAAACCCTAGAATCGTTTGGATTTTCAAAGAGTAAGTGTAGATCCCAAGACTCGTTGCTAGCTTTTAATAAGCCCCACGACTTTTCCTCGATATCTCTCTTGACTGAGCAAAGCATAGACAACAAAATCATAGAAAACAAGAAAATAGATAGCAAAAGCACAGACAACAAGAAAATAGATAGCAAAAGCACAGACAACAAGAAAATAGATAGCAAAAGCACAGAAAACAAAATCATAGAAAAAAAAAGCACAGAAAGCAAAAGCACAGAAAGCAATATGCATTTTCTTGATCAAAACAAAAGGATCGCCTTTGAAGATTCGATTTTTCCTACTAAAGCGGTAAGCTTAGTTGAATCCAGTCTTGATTATGAAAATTCCTCAAAGTTAGCCATTATAAATGAAGAGAAAATCGCAAAGCCTCTTTTGATTGAATCTGAAAAGCATAAAGAATCCCTAGCGATTACGAGATTTTCTTCTCAATTGGAATTAACAAAAGATCAGAAACGCTGTACACCTGAATTGTATTTAGCACCTTCAAGGGAAATGTGTAAACCCCGTCTTCAAACCCTTTTTACCGATGTTCCGACCTCTACGTTATTGCCAAAGTCAATGCTGGATTTGGAAAAATTCTATTTTAGTCTTGAAGAATGCGGCTCCCTTAACGAATCTAGAGGTATTTCTACCATTTTCTGTCGTGTATGCCGTCCAATTGAATTAATGACGGGCCTCTCGATAGACCATTTTTTTCTTCAAAGTATTTTGTATTTCCTGCCTGATTTGCTTGCGGCTGAACCCTGGGTTGTTGTCCATGAAGGACGGCGGGTTCTTTCCTGGATCATCAAAGGAGCTGGCGCTATATTGTCACCAAATCTAGGACCGACAGCGATCTCCCCATCTGCTTTTGTAGATAGACGCTCCATACTAAGGACTCGACTACTAAATGAGCTTTATAAAAATTATTCGCTGTCATCACCTTCAGAAGAGATTATTGAACTTTCTTGTATTATAGGATCAAAATTTTGGCCTACACCTTTTCATCCAGGCTCTTTATTTCCGAGTATAGAATCCTTGCCAAGGAAGAGCCTACCAGGAATCCAAGGATATCCTGAAATATTGGGCTCAATTCTTGATAATTCATCTTCAGTATTTTCTAAAACAACACCGAGCGTACTACCTGAAAAGACGGATTCTCATACGTCTTTGTTTCCGGCCGAAGCTAAGGAAACGTTGTCTCTTTTAGGAAGGGTATGAATTTTTATTGACCACTTTATCAATTATAGATAAGAGCAAAGGAAAAGGAACGGAATGCCCAACTTGCATCTAATTTGCCTGCAGCTAATACAATTTTAGTAGCTGGACTGTCTGGAYGTCCACTTCTTCAGAAGCTGCTATCTCTTATAGAAGGAATTGATTCGTATGTTGATGTTTTCTTTTTGTAGGATATTTATGACGTTCAGTAAAAATGTACTCCTATTGGGAGAATTATCCAAAAGGTTATCGTCAAATTGTAATATAAATGTCACACCAGGTAAAAGTTTCATGCTAATTGAAAGATGAGGCATGTTCGCTTGTAAAATATCTTGTTACGATTGTACCGAAATATCTTTCCATCGTAAAGATGGGAGGGGAATCGGCATCTGGAAATATCCCAATTTTTATTAAAATCCACAGAGATTGTATGGCTGCTGCAGTAGCCAAGAAAGAGGTCCAATCTTTCATTTTGAGTAGCAAATAAATGGAAATTAATTTTATAAAAAATCCAGCTCTCATTGAAGAATAATTGCATGAAATAATCAAACCTTAATTTTCGATGGACTCTCATTCTGTAGCTGCAACAGTCCTTCAGAATGGGGAGGATCTGTTGCTTTTTGCAGTTGAAGGCCCAAACTCACGACCAGACTACCATGTAAATACAAAGGAGGTACGTCATATCAATTTATCACAACTAGGAATTGTTTATTCAGTTAAAGGGAAGTCTTCTTTTAAAGATAATTGACCCTGACACCTCCGAAAAGGCGGATATTATAGTCCCACAAGGTAGCACTTTTCTTCTGGACAGTACCAAAATTTGCATATAATTGATCCGAATAGAAATGATACCACACAGACCGATTAGGGCACATTCCACATTTGGTCTTGTTGTTGAGCTTCCAAATGCAGAGCGTATTAAATGAATGTTTAATGTTTGATAGATAAGCTCCAGTGGTATTGTAATAACTTTTCATATGGGAATTTGCTAAAGGAAGTGTGCCTAGTCAAACGTGAGAGGCAAGAACTGCCAGATCTTATTCAAAAAGCCTTGGACGACACGGAAATGATCCTTTTATGTGATCCATGCAATATACGGCAAGAAATATATGAAGATCCAGATCAATGATTGTAGGAGCCATATTCAAGCTTTAATATTCAAATAAATGTGAGAGAATTTCATTATAATCGCTGCTGTCAACTATGATCTTCTCGGCCAGGCTTGGGGCTGATCGAAGCCTATACTAAACCAGAGGCCCATATTTTATCGCATCATTGTGTTTGTGTCCAAGCGAATTTCAATTAATTGCGTCTAACCACAGATCTCTGGAAGATTTTATTAATTTATATACGTTAGATGACTATGATCGTAGCCAACAGGAGGGATATTACAGATGAAGAGAAAATTTTTGCTGCTTTCCGGAATGAGGTAGATGATGAAGCATCTACCAATGAAGACTTTGCAACATGTTCCTTTGGATTGATACCACTTTCCGAGGATGAGGATGATGCTAGCAGTGATGCGCCTGGTAAAGCGGGGGAATCGCCTTTTTTCACAGTTGGATTCGCCGCACGCTTTTGTTTATTTACAATTCTTTCGATAAGAGTAGACACTGGGGACCTATCCAGTGGGTAAAATGATACCTTTTTGGGGAAATCAACAGTTGTCGACGGATCCATAGTTGTGATTGAGGCAGAAAATGTCCCATCAGAGCCTATTCCAAACTCGGTCAATAAAAATGGAAGAGTAAATTGCGTTCTTGCGTATGAAAACATAAAGTTCTCGGCCTCTGCGCACGAGAATACAAAGACGCTTAAAATAAAGCTACCCATTAGGCTAAATTGATCTGCTCTCTTTATCAGTGAAAGGGCCTTGGTAAACCAGATAAAAGATCCAACAGGAAAGATAAAAATATGCAAGATTAATTGGATAAAGGACAGGATGACCTTTGAAAAAAAGACCGGAGAAAGCTTTGCTACGCTGTCCTTTTTTACAAATGGAGGTGTGGTAAAGTATAAAGTGCATGCCCAAAAGACAACAGTAATTAGGCACCTAGTTCGCATGATTTCAAAGCTTAGGACATTTAGGATGAAAAAAGTGTAAAACTCCCAAGAAAAGTATCCAAAAACTCCATGCATCAAAGAAATGATAAATGTGAATGGTGTCGATCGAGTGAATAACATCGATATGAAATCAAAAAAGATAGATGAAATAGAAAAAGACGTGCAGCACGTAAAAAATGTGCTGGCTTTTTTCGCCGACAAGACCAGCAGACCATATTCTGCCCGTTCCCTTTGAGAAATAAGGTCGTCATACTTGGAAGAGTCCATAAATATTGGAGGTTTAAAGTTCCAAAAATCTTCCGACCTGATCGAGCCAAGCCAGCAAGTATAGAGTAAATACAAGAATAGTGCGAGAAAAATTGGTTTGTTAATCGGGGAACCCTTAGGATGTCGTGGCACAGGAAGGATCTGGATTATGAGATGCAAAAAAATTGCCTCAAAAAAGGCCGGTATCACGTACGAGCCAGCTTCTTGGTCAATTGCAAGGACAGAAAGAAAGCCGCCAGTGATATCGGAAGTATCTGAAATCGCTATATCTCGTCCTAGCCCCAAAAAAGCCTGAGCCAGCAATAGGTTTTTTTCGAAATCTTCAAGAATTGGCCAGGCGACAAATAATTGAGACGTGAACATATGCAGAAGAGCTATCATAAGAAAAAACTTGAGATTATAGTCGATTAAAAGGCAAAAGGCTGGAATAATTACCCCAAATAGGCGATAGTGCCAACGCCACCAGTAAGGGGATTCAGAGGGTTGGCCAAATAGCAATCGAAAATACAGAAAAGGGAATAGGAAGTCAGAAGTATCTATCAGATATCCTAAAGTCTGTATAGAAATCAAATGATAGCTCATGAAAAGGGATACCACCAATGTGAATACGATATTTGGCGTCAAATTGGTGAAAAAGACAAAAATTCTCCAAGGAGCTATAAAAACAGACAACAAAACGCAGGCTGTAACAATTCCGTAAACAAGGACTCCTAAAGTTGAAAAAATTTTTGTATTCGAAAAGACATTATTTACCGCCAGTAATCTCAGCAAATAGGTAAATGAATATATGGAAAATAATATCAAGATACGAGAGCTAACAAACACATCAGAAGAAGAAGGAATTCCGCTTTTAAAAAATATTGAAAGATGCCTGAAAGGATTGAGAATGATAACAAGAGCTTGAAAAATTAATGGCAGAATTGATAAATGAGCGGGTTGAATCTTTACAGAGGAAGCTAATACCAATCCTTGAAGCAAGGACAAAAGGACAATAAGGAACAGCGAGCTGGAGATCTTGATCATCAATGAAAAAATAATATCCTTAATCGTTAAAAGATTGAAAATAATCCAATCAAAAAGACGTTTACATCAATTAATTAATTTATTTAATTCCGAAAAAGCTAGAATTTACCAGAATGTTAAATATTTTTCATGAATTTTCATGAATGTTACCTTCAACAATCTATTTATAGGGCAAACTGATATGCTTTAGCATCCATGGACAAGCTTTTTATTCTCGATAACATTCTTTTTGGAGATGGAGCATTTTCATCTTCGCCATGCAATTTTTCATTACGCTCCCATAAAAAGCCCTCATGTACATCTTCTCGTGATGATGGGATGCAAGCATCACATTCTGCTAAAACGCTTGCTGTTTCGATCTGGGAAGAGCCATCAAACGAGAATTCGTCAAACGAACCTTTGATAGAGGCAGGTCCATCAGTACTTGTGATTTATGCCGAAATTCCAGGAATAAAGAAGGAAGATGTTTCTATTTCGGTAGACGGTGATGTGATCAATATACGTTGTAAACGCAATCCTATCCTTTCTCCTACTCCTTCATCTGAAAAGTCGGAGACCAGGTTTTACCTGTCCGAAATACACGCGGAGTCAAGTTTTTCTTCTTTCTTGGAATACTCGAGGAAAATTCAAGTTCCAACGGATCGCTTTAATATTGACACTGCTTCTGCTTCCGTTTCCAATGGCACTCTTGCGATTAAAATTCCACGAAAAACCTCGAAGGGGCCCATCGCTCCAAAAAGCATCCCTATCCTTTAGTCATTTACTAAATGATTGATGTACTACTGCCAGTAAAGTATTATCTTTGTTTATTAACAGTGATAACGGAAAAAATTATCAAACAAGCAAGAATGATCCAGTTCAAATAGGCAATAAATATGGAAATGAACGTAAATATTACAAGCATAACCAATGGCCCCACTATATCGACCAAAGCAATGAACAGTAATCTTTTGATCTTAGAATTGGATAGGCCAGATTGGAAATAGATAATGTACATCATATAAAGAATCTGGAAAATAATGATGGAAATCAAGGGGGTATTATAATAGATGGGAAGCACGTACGGGCGCCCGGAGTAGTTGGTGAAAATTACAGAAAGAACAATAAAGAAGGAAAGATACGAAAGGGGCACTTTGAGTAGAAAAATTCCATCAGAGGAATCGAACATTGAAGAAAGTTCGGCCCTAATATAATATTGCAGAACAAACAGATGCCAAAGGACTTGGGTAGTGCCGATGAGGATGGAACGAAGGTTCATTATTGAAACAGGAGGCCTTTCCAACAGCAGGGGCGTGTAGAACCCATACACTCCAATGTTCTCTCCTTCTGGGAAATTCTTAGAGTCAGGATTGCGTTTCTTCTTATTGTCGCCATATTGACGAAGCTCTTTAAACTTCCTTTGGACATGAGAGAACAGGTCTAAAATGTAATTTGACAATTTTAAAGCCAAATTGGCGAGCATGGGGTTGATGGTTCGCAGCATGGCGATAAGGGTACCCGATGCAAAATTGAATGCAATTCGAATCAACATCAGTACCAAATTGACCAGGGAGGAGATAGATGCGAGAAGCCGAAAGAATCCAGGCATCATATCCCAAGAAAATGAGCCAAGACCGAACGAAATTAGAAGGAAAATCGAATTTTCGTTTAAAAAAGAAAGACCCCAAAGTACTTGAACAACAGCAGAAAGGAATGAGACAATGAAAAATACTAGAAAAAGACGATATCTGTAATATGCCGACGCTCTGCCAAGCCGAAGAATCTTAGTTACACAGGATATGTCCAAAACGTACGAAGTAAATGGAGCCACCACGGCAAAATCGGTTGTGGTCTGGCTGATTTTTTTCAATAACCAAAACGGCTTTCTTGGAATATCCATGAAATCCTGGAACGCTGATTCATCTGTATTTTTGGGTCTTTCAAAAATACCATCGCTAATAAACTGAGGTGAATCTAGCAATGCAACTCCAATGTCTGCCTGCTGCAGAGCCATAATGTCATTTGTGCCATCGCCGCACATAAGCGTGTTGAGGCCTTGTTGTTTATATAGTCTTAATACTAAACACTAGTAGGTTAGTTGGATAATCGGAAAAGCATACCTTGTTATCTGGAGTTGATCTGGCAAAAACGGACACCTTTGGTAAGATGTTTTTTACAAAAAAGGCTTCATTCCATTCAATTAAAGCGGAAAAGGCAGAATTTGAAAGTATCAGTCTGCTGTTTCGCGAAAGGCGCCTGTACAGCTGATGGGGCGTCAATAACTCTGCGGTATTCATTAGTTCAATCAAATAGTCATCATCTCGGCCGTTCTTGGAACCAAAACTTCCCAGATTACATTTGACAGACAGACGAATTTGGCTGCCATGATCGATATTATGAGCTTCAATGTCTACCGAAAATATACTATTTTCTTTGAAAAACTCCAGTCGATGACCAACAGCGGCTGCGGTTTCCATAGAGTCTCCAGTGATCATAACAGTCTGATGGCCCGATTCACGAAGCAGCTTCAAAGTGGCTAATGAGGCATTTTTGGGGGCACTTTCAAACGCCACCATTCCGAGATACGAAAAAAGAGGATCACCATCAACGCCAATCAAACCTTCAGCAACGAAAGGGTCCGTAATGGAGGAGAATGTAAATTGATCGTCTTCTTCGTCATCATCAAAATCCTCCACGTTTGTTCGAGATGGAAGCCATTTAAGACCAAGGGCCATAATTCGATATCCAGAGGACCCCAGCGCCATGCTTTGCTGCAAGTATGATATTCTATCTTGATCACAAGACCATCTGAATTGGGGGAGCAAGATATCCGATGCACCCTTCATAGCGACAAAATATTGAAATCCAATCTTTCCAATGACAACCATCCGCTTTCTTAAAGAGTCTTTTGGAAAAATTTTCAGAATCTCGATCGTAATACCATCATCCGTGACAACTTTTGTCTTAACATGTTCGCCAGCAGATCCAGAGGGGTATAGCTCCCAACCAATAGCTTCGAATGGAAGCTTTTCCATGGATGAGCCAAATATTTCGAAACCTGAGCCATCCAGCGAAGCTGCTTCAAAAAGAGTGTGGCAAACTCCAATTACTAAGCGAGCATTAGAGGCGACATCGGATCCGCCTGGATATTTTTTCAACCGCAATTTCCCATTATTAAAAGAGTCTCTTTCTTTGGCATCTGATTGCTGTGTAGGGGAAGTGGGTATCTTTTTATCCCAAAATTTCGAAATACGTGAGAAAAAGGAGCGAAGAAATGAATTCCTCAATTCCGAGAGTCGCCCGTCTGATAAGGATACTTTCTGTGATGGATCTAGCCATCCGACATACTTCATTTCAGATTCGGTTAG